GCAGGTCACGCTGCAGCACCTCTGAGAAAGCTGCTCTCTAATTGGCTGGCTGGCGGAGAGAAGCTGCAAGAACAGTATTAGGAAGGGCTGTCCCCAGTGGGGCTTTAAGGGAGATGCTTACACCTGGGGGAGGGGAGGAAGCTGGGGATTGGAAATGCAGGCTTCCTGGTGCGGAACATCCAACTGAAGGCTGGCCCAGCTTCTATCCCAGACTTGTTTTCACAAAGGATCAGCCTCCCACCCTCCCCTCCCCTCCTTCTGCAGTCTCACTCTGCTTTCTCAGTGTGTGCTCCTACCATCCCCCAGTCAAAGGGGAGGGGGGAAGTCCACTCCAAAACGGAGAGGGATAAGGGCTTTCTTCTTTAGTCACTGCGGGACAACTGATTTTCCTCCTTCTCTCCCCCTCAAACAGCTGTTTCCTTTCCAATAGAGGTCAGGGTGAGTTAGGCTAGAATTAGTCTTTTAATGGCTGGGTCAAAGGTAATGAAATCCCCCTGTGCAAAGCCCTCTTCCTTCTCCCCATGGCTGATGATTTTCCAGGCAAGTCCTTACGTTCTTCCCTCCCCTCCTCCCCTTTTCTGGTGGGAAGTGGCCTTGATGACAGGAAAGAATGTACCAAGCCTGTGTCAGCACACTGAGTCTGGTACAGCACACACCAAGGGGCTGGTTGCCGTGGAAACCGGTCGGCAGCCTCAATATCTGTCCGCACACGATCCGAGAATGGATTATCAGATCTAACCAAAGGGAGTGAGTGATGAGTTTCATCAGGGTTGGAGCTGGGGGTAGGGGTGGGGGAAGGGGGAAGGGTACTTTCTCCATATACAGTTATTTAAGCAGCTGGTTAATCCTACCTATGTCGTGGAGTCTCAGAGTTGGGGGGGGTGGGGATGTCAGAGGCCATCTCCTCCAACCCAGACTGTTAAGAATGCCCTCTACCACATTAACAGACAAGTGGTCATCTTATCTCTGCTTGAATGAAGAGTTTCAGCAAGGGGGAGCCTCCCACCTTCCTCTGCAGCTTAATCCACTTTGGGATAGGGCTAATTGTCAGCCTGTTTTTCCTTACATCAAGCTTCAATCTGCCTCTTGAAATAGCTCTGTCCTCTGGGGTCAAGCAGAATATGTCTAAACGCCTTTCCTTATGACGTCTCAATACTTTCATGTCTCTCTCCCCTACCCAACCCCAGTCTCTCAGCTAAAGCCTTCTCTATTTAATTCGAAACATCTCCGATTCCTTTAATCGATCCTCATGTGTTATGTTCCCAAGGCCCTTTGCCATCCTGGTTGCCCCACTCTGGACACTCTCCAGTTCATTAATATCCCTATAAATATGGTGCCCAGAATTGAACTTCAAGTGTGGTCAGACTACAGAGTATAAAGAGACTGTCCTCTCTTTTGTTCTGATGCTTCTACCAATATATCTAAAATCACATTTGCTTTTTTGACTGCCATATCACAGTATTTACTGATATTGGGCATATACTTGTGATACTCATACTGAAGGTTCCCCAATACTAACTAGAAATCACATTTGTTTATTTCTACAGAGCCCAGCAATAGGACGTCAGTGCCCAGTTTTACTCTCTGACATAATCCTCGTGTTTCCAGTGCTTCTGAGGCCCGAAGGAAAAGGAGGACTATTGGTTGTTGTTGTTTGTCCTTCTCAAAGAGGACCAAAGACTTCAGGACGGTGATGTCTTGACTTACAAGTAAACTGGATTTAAGTGAGGCAGGGCTGCGCACAGTCACCGGCCTCACTCTCTCCTCCGGAGTCATTGGAGTCCAATGGCAAGATATGTCAGGACTGGCAGTGGCCCCTGGACTACTCACAGTTATGTCCTGCTTTAAATTTTGCAAAACACTTTCCTCCCAACAAGTTGGTGAAATATGCAGTGCAAGTATCACGGATCCCATTTTATAGATGAGATAAGTGAGGCTCGAAATACTTAAGTGATCTGCCTGCTTGTCATACAACTAGTTGGTGTCAGAACTCAGATTCACAGGCTCATAGGTAGAGAGCTGGGGACCATTTAGACCAATTTCCTCCTTTAAAGGAGGACACTGAGACGAAGAAAAGGGCAGTCAAATAACTAGTGTCACAGCTAGGATTGGAACCCATTCTTTTGACTCCAAATCCAGTATTCTTTCCCCTACATGCTAACTCTAGGTCAGAAGGGGTTCCTTTGTTGGAAAGAAGGGGTGGGAAAGGTTTCCTTGCATACCAGAATTATGCATCTCTCAAGTGTCTGAGACCACAATCCACACAGATACCATTTGTCATAGTTGTTTCTCTTGATTCCATCCTCAGAAAGTTGTAGAATTTGCTCTTCTTGTTAACAATGTTGTCACTATGTTGTCACTAAATTTATCTAAACCTTTTTCTAGACCATGTTAGATCGTGTTTTGTTGTGATTCAGTCGTGGGATCTTCTTGGCAAATATCCCAGAGTGGTTTGCCATTTCCTTCTCAGGCTCATTTTACAGAGGAGGAAACTGAGGCTAAAGGGGTTAAGTGACTTGCCCAGGGTCACACAGCTAGTGAATGTTGGAGGCCAGATTTGAACACACGAAGATGGGTGTTCCTGACTCCTGGCCTGGCACTCTATCACTGTGCCACTGAGTTGCCTGTCAGCTCATGAGTTTGTATCATTTCTTAAAAAACCAGGTTCCATGCATTTCCTACCAAGTCTGTAAAGGGATAATCTCTTGTATTTGTCCAAAAATGACCTTAAAACCTGTCTTGACTCTGTCTAATAGAGTTCCGGCTTGGTCACTTACTAGCTGCCTGACCTTGGGCAAGTCACTTAATCTCCTTCAGTCTTAGCTGTAATATGGGGATAACCATATTTAGAGTATTACAGGATTGTTGTAAAGATCAGATGAAATTTGTAACCATAACAGCCCACATTTGCTCATAGTTCATTACTATTATTGGAATAATAATACTAAAATAACAATATACATTTATTCATTCAACATGGATTTTTAGGTACTTATCATATATGCCAGGCATGATGCCAGGCACCAGAGACACAAAGTGAAAAACAGTCTTTTGCCTTCAAGAAGCTTACATAGGATTGAGGGAAACAACGCACATAAATAAATATTAAATATCTCCAAGGTATATACAAAATAAGTTTGACTAGGATGGGGGTGGGGGCAGCACTCACACCTGAAAGACTCAAGAAAGGTCTTGTTTAAGAGGTGTGGCACAATGAGCTGAGCTTTTTTTTTTTCCTTTAAGGAGGAAATCAGGGTTAAGTGACTTGGCCAGGGTCATACAGTGTCTGAGACTGGATTTGCACTCAGATCCTCCTGACTCCAGGACTGACTGCTTTATCCACTGCATCACCTAGCTGCCCCTATGCTGAGCTTTAAAGGAAATGAAGGATTCCAAGGTGAGGCGGAGGACATTCCTGGCACAGGCGACAGCCTGTAACAAAGGTACGGGGACAAGGGATGGAACATTGCCTGTGAGAAACAGCAGCTAGGTCAGTGTGGCACAGAACACGGGGGACGGTCGTGATCTATCAGAAGTCTGGAGAGTGCGCTGGAGGCAGACTGTGAAGTGTTTTAAATGTCAAACTATTGAGCTTGTGGGCAGCTGGGAGGCTCAGTGGATAGAGCACCGGAGCTTGGAGTCAGGAAGACTCATCTTCCTGAGTTCAAATCCAGCCTCAGACACTTATTGGCTGTGTGACCCTGGGCAAGTCACTCTATCCACTGCACCATCTAGCTGCCCTGTGAGATAATGCAAATTGGGGGTGGAAATGATTACCCCTGGCCTCCTGCTTCAAATCGTATCCCCCCCCACTATCCACTGCTGCCTAACTCGTCCTCTCTAAGCACAGACACGACCACGGGACTCCCCTTATCAATCAGCGCCAGCGGCTTCTCATTGCTCCAAGGACACAACGTCAGCTCCTCTGGTTAGCTTTTAAAGGCTTCACCGCCCGTCCCCAGCAGTTCCCAGCCCATCCGACGTCACTCCTATATCTACATGCTGCTGCGCAGCCTTCTGCCTGCTCCTCGCTCGCTCGCAGCACTCACCTCTGTTTCACGCTTTTACACTGGCTGTGCCCCGGGCAGGATGTGTTCCCTCCTCACCTCTGCCTCAGCTCCCCTCTTTTCCTTCAAGCTGCGCTTCCGGCATTATCTTCTACATGAAACCTTTCCTGAGCTCCCCCAGCTGTATTGAGCTACTTTGGATACATATATTTTTATTCACTTTACTAGCGTGTGTCAAAAGTCTTAGTGCAATCCTAAACTAAAGGTTGGGATTGCACTAAGGTTCCAATCTATTAAAGGTTGTTCAATCATTTTTCAGTCATGTCCTACTCTTCTTGACCCCATTTGGGGTTTTCTTGGCAAAGATATTGGAGAAGTTCGCCATTTCCTACTCCAGCTCATTTTACAGATGAGGAAACTGAGGCAAACAGGGTTAAGTGACTTGCCCAGGGTCACACAGCTAGTGTCTGAAGCCGTATTTGAACTCACAAAGATGAGTCTTTCTGACTTCAGGGCTAGCACTCCATCCACTGCACCACCTAGCTACCCCTGTTAGAGGTTAGGACCGCTCTAAGGTTCTAAGCTATTAAAGATTAGGACCGCTAGGTGTCACAGTGTATAAAGTACTGGGCTTAGAATCAGGAAGATTCCCCTCCCTGAGTTCAAATCTGGCATCAGACATTTATTAGCTGTATGACCCTGGACAAGTCACTTAACTCAGTTTCCTCATGTATAAAATGAGCTGGAGAAGGAAATGGCAAACCACTCCAATATCTTTGCCAAGAAAACCCCAAATGGGGTCATGAAGAGTTGGATACGGCTGAACAACAAAAAGATTCTAAGCTATTAAAGGTTGGGACTACACTAAGACGCTTGGCTTGCCCTGTGTTTATGCTGTGCATTTTTATATGTACTTGTCTCCATCATTAGAATATAAGCTCTGAGAACGAAGGGATTATTTCATTCTTTGTCTTTTGTATTCCCAAGCCTAGCATGGCGCCTGGCACACGGTGGGTGCTTAAGCAATACTCATTGATTGAATGGGAAGACTGCCGTGCCCTTGACAGAACTAGGAAAGTTAAAAAGCGGTGATTTGGGTAGAAAGAGACTGAGCTCTGTTTTGGACTTGTTGAGTTTGAGATGCCCGCAGAGCATCCCTGTAGAAACATTGAACCAGAACTAGAGATATACAGGAGCGTTTCCCTACTACTTTCCTATTTAAAAAGTTGAAATTGCACTGCCGATGAATAAGTCACTTGACAAGAACTCTGTGTGTCTCTGGTACTGTGCTTGGTGCTGAGGAGGGGCTGACAAGTGGCCAACGGTCCTTGTCAAGGAAGGCTTAGAAGGAAACCTCACAAGTTCATAAATCCCAAGCTATTAGAGACCCCAGAGGTCATTCATTCCCCTCATTTTACAGAGTAGAAAACTGAGGCCCATTGAGCTTAGGGAATTTGCCCACGATGACACAGAGAGTGAGGGTCAGAGACAGAATTTGAACCCAGAACCTCTGACTCCAGGGCCAGAGTTCTTTCCGTGGTACCTATCTGCCTCCTAAATTCAACTTGGGCATATCCTCTAGTCTGGTTTGGAGTGAGGGGAAGATCACTTACAAACTATCACAATTAAGTGAAATCGAATCCTGCGTTTGCTGGAAGATGTAAGTATGTGTAACTCTCCCTGCATTTTCTCCCCAGCTTTGAGTTATATAAGGTCAGTAGGCTCTGTATGTGATTTAGGTGCCAAGGAGCCAATTTTAGGTAGATTTTGGTTGAGATTTGTTGAGAGATGGGAGGAAGGGGAGGTGAAGGGGACAGGGATGACAGAAGAGAAAGGACAAAGAGTTCTAGGGACATGAGGATAAAGCTGAATGATTTGTCAACAAAATCTGTCTTCCTTTTTGAGGCTTTATAGGGCAGACACATTTTTTCCATCTCTTTTAATCCTCATCTGACAGAGAGGATTTTCTAGCCATTAAATCATAGCTTTTCTGGAAAAAAAAAAAAAAGAAAAATAACCACCCAAACCCACAAAATAATGTCCCACCCCCTCCTTTCCAGTACTTTGTTATTTTCTGCCAAGCTTGGGCAATGGCTGGCGTAGGGAAGTGGATGGTCAGTTCTGAGGGATGGAGGAAGACCCAGAGGGCATCCTTCCAGGTAAGTGATCGATGCTCTGGGTTTCTTTATCCAACAAGAAACAGTTCTTTGCACAGGCTTGCAGAATATTGTTTTTCTAGCTCCCTTGTCAGTAATTCTGTTTAAAGATGTTAGTCAAGTAAAGGTCTCACAGACAGCTGTGCTGATGGTCAGAGTACCCCCAGCGCACCTCCCTGAAGGGCTTTGAAGGTTGCTGCTGCAGTTTTTGTTTTCTAAAATTCCATTACAGAAGTGGGGTATTGGGGGGAGAGGAGGGGAATAAAGGAATAGGAAAATTATTAGGAAGTTCACAATAATAAGGAAGGGTATATTTCCTAGTTCTAGAGCAGCAGTTCTCAAAGTGAAGTTGGGGGTCTCCTAGTGGTCCCCAGGCCCTTTTAGGGAATCCAAAAGATCAAATAATTTTGATAATAATAAATGATAAAATAGAATTTTTTAAAAATTAAAAAATAATTTTCATAATAATATTAAGATGTTTTCATTTCAATATGGTAAAAAATGTATATAATCCACATAAGCAAAAGCTCTCTCTTTTTTGGGAGGATTCTCTACAATTTTTAAGATTATTGAAGGGATTCTGAGACTAAAAAGATTGAGAACTTCTCTAGTTCTAGAGGTAAGTGCAGCTGAGTACTGTTCTACTACTAATATTAATAATAATACATAGATTTTTATAGTGCTTTACAGTTTAAAAATGTTCTCCAGAATCAAAGGGTCATGAGATTTTTAGACTTGGAAGCCACTCTTGGGATCAGCTAGTTCAACCCTTTCATGTAACATAGGAGGAAACTGAAGGGCTGTGGTGTAGTTAAAAAGAGCTCTAGACTAATAATAAAGAGGCCTAGATTTTTGACTCAGCTCTGCTATACACCATGAGACTTTGGGCAAGTCACTTTACCTCTTTGTGCCTCAGTTTCCTTATCTGTAAAATTGGGATGGGGTTATTGACTAGTTAGCTTTAAGACCTCTTTCTGATCTAAATCCATGATAGATAATTTCTGAAATGTCTGGCCTACCTTTATATAGTTCTAAGAAGCTCAGAGAGATTAGATGATTTTATTGACCAAACTCAAACTCCCAGGAAGAAGACTTGAACCCAGAACTGGGATTTGAACCCAGGCCTCCTGCCCACTGCTTTCTCCCACTGGGTTTCCTTTGTTTCTTTAGGCACAGAAGCCTTGCTGGCTCTGAGGGGCAGCACATGAACAGACTGGAGATGTTTGCCCTCATCTTGAATGGTGAGTAATCAACAAGCCTCTTCTCCTTCCCCTCTTCCCTCCTTCCCTCTACCTCTCTTCCCTGACCCTTCCCCCGCCTCCTCTTTTTCTTCTCCTCCCTCCCCTCCCCTCCCGTCTCTCCTCTCCCCTCTGTTTAAATCCCAAACTCAGTTTTGAATATTACACGCATGCGTAAGGAAAGCTGTTAGGAAATGCCTGAAAACCACACATTCTAGCTTTTACTCACCTAGAATGCATTTAAAATGGAGCACGTGAAGGCACCACTGGAATATTTCTTTCCGATCAAGTTCCACAAAAAAAAACTAAACAACAACAAAAAACAAAACAAAACAAAACAAAACAAAAATGAAAAAAAAGTGATGGGGGTGTGAGGACCATAAAAATTCCTCCAAAGCAAACACCGCCCTCCCCACCACATCACACCCTACCACCCTTGCCAAATTCAGTCTTCTTTTTCTGATTTTCTTATTCCCATTTCAGTTATGGATCCATGGCCCTACACTCATTGAGGTGCCATTTTAGTTATAAACACAGGCTCTATCCCCAAAGAAGGCAAACAAAAAGTCCCCAGTAAGTCAGTTGCAGAATTCCAAACCAGCTGCTCATTCCACATGAAAAAACCCTGGGCTGGGAGTCTCACAGAATCTCGGAGCTAGAAGGGATGTGAGGGGCTGCCTGGTCCAAACTGTCTCCGAAAAGAAATCTCTGCCTTCCTCTGGTTTATGATAAAGATAATAATCACAACTAGAATATCACTGTCTTTGCACAGGAAAAAAAAAACCTAAAGCATTTGAGTCTCTATTTGTGCAACAAAATATAGAAAAGGCATTTATCAGAGCAGGAACAAACACTGTAACAACAGTAACCTTACTCCTTGTTCCATCCTGAGTCAATCACTCAGAATTTGTGGAACACCTGTGATGTCCATACCAGGTGGAAGGAGAGAAAGAGTCAGAGAGACAAAGACAGAGACAGAGGCACACAGGTGTATCTTGCTTTCAAGGAGTTTATGATTTTGAAGGAGAAGCAAAATAGGAATGTAAGAAACTCCTGGAGAAAGGCTACTGTATGATAAAGTGCTAACTTTAGTGGTATGAGCAATATTACACTTAGTAGGTGGCATAGACAGAAAATGCAAGATGATCCTCACAAAGCAAGTTAAGTGTAAATCAAAATCGATTGGTGAAATCTAGGGGAGGGGGGAGGTGCCCAAGGGAAGAAAGAAACCTCAGAGGCCAATGAAATAGAAAGAACTCGGGGTTGGGAATCAAGATGGAGGGGAATGGGAGGGCTTCATAGAGAAGGTGGCCATTTAAATTGGCCCAACAACGTGTTCAACAAGTGAACAGAGGGGTATGGAAGACATTTCAGGCCTTGGAACAGTGTAAACAAAGGTAGGAGGTGGGAAAGTGTAGGCCATGGTCAGGGGTTCCAAGAAGGTAGAGAAAACCATTTAACTTCCAACTGATACTAGGTTCACATCTAGTATAGTGTCTCTAGATTACAGTTTGGAACCCTGGACGCAGGGTTCTTCGCAGTGCTGCGAATGGACTCAGAATCCTGTGCGTTCTAGTTAGTGGCCTCTTGATGTGGGAGACCTCTCTCTGCATCTTACCACTGCCAGGTGACGGCTCATGGCACAGTGGTCTTCAAAAGGGTAGGCCAGACACAGAGAAGAAGTCTCTGATTTCCCAACCATTATACCTCCTCTGGCTCCCTTCTCTCTCTCTAACCTTGAACCCTTTGACTCAGGAGTGGGGAACCTGCAGTTTGGCTGAGGTGTGAAGTGGCCAAATGTTTGTCTTGTCCTTTCTCATCACGTATTCGTGGACTTTTCTAGTTGGAAGGGACCTCAGAAACCATCTAGCCCAACATATATATGAAAAGAATCCTCACTATGACATTCCTGGTAAGTGTCATCCAGCCTTTCCTTATAGACCTCCAAGGAGAGGAGACCCATTTTCTCCCAGTCTTTTCTACTCTTGAATACCTTTGATTATTAGGAAGTTTTTCTTGATATCAAGCTTTGCTACTTCTTATAGGAAGTTTCCTGTTCTTCAAGGCTCAGCTCGATTCCCATCATTCTTCAGGAGGCCTTTCCCTGTCTGTCAGCTGATAATGTCTCCTCCTCTGAGATAACCTTCCATTCGTTCCGTATTAGACTCATTCTATAAATCTCATCCCTTCTCCACATTTCAATCCTTCAAATACTTGAAGACAGCTATTATGTCCCTTCCTCTTTTCCAATCTTTTAGTCTCTCCAGGATAAACATCCTCAGTTCTTTCTATCCTCTATGACACAGACTCAAGGCCCTTCCTCATCCTGGTTGTCCTTCCCTGGACAATCTCGAGCTTTGCAATGTGCTGGGCCTGGAGTCAGAAAGAATTCAAATCTAGCCTCAGACACTTAATAGCTGTATGACCTGGCAAGTCACTTAACCTCTGTTTGCCTCAGTTTCCTCAACTGTAAAATGGAAACAGAATCTCACAGACTAGTGAAGATCAGATGAGATACTTGTAAGACACCTGGTACGTAGAAGGCACTTAATAATTGCTTATTCCCTTCCCCTTATTTTCTGAAATCATGGAGTCCAGAATTGAGCACAATAATCTTTCTCACCATGCAGAGTCCTTGATCTTGTGTTAAATACTTCTCCCTTGCTGTAGAATCTTGTCACTCCTGTTTGTTGCACACTTCCTTTATTACTGTCCACTGGCAGCCAATGTCCTAATAACTTGGGGAAAGGAGAGGAAGCAGACAGAACAAGATGGCGCCTACAATTCTCCTTAGCAGAGACAACTGTATTTTTCAAGTAAAATGAACTAGTCTCTAAAGGAAAAGAAGGAAAAATTTAAAAACAAACAACCTTACAGGTAGAAAATTGTCCAATTATAGGGCATGGGAATCTTATTCTGAGTTACTTCTAATCTAGTTATAACAAGCCAGCACAGCTTCCAGGGCTCATCAGCCCCATTCTATCTAAAGAACTTCCCCTAGGCAGATAGATGCCTTCTCTGAAATTTATAATTTATAGTCTTAGAAAGGTTCCTGAGTTGACAGTGTGATGTGGCCCCCCCCTCCACCCCCCTCCCCAATTGAGTGTATCTTTAGCTGCATTAAGTGAAGCGTATGTTCCAGGAAAAAGTAGGAATGAGCAGCTGTCCTGGTCACATCGTCTCTAAAGCATTGTGTTGAGCTCTAGATGGTAGAGTTTAGGAAGAGCCTGGACAATCAGGAGAGCAACCAGAGCAAGGCAACCAGGATGCTGAAGGACCTTGAGTCAATATCACATGGAGATTGAGTGAAGGAACTATGGGTGTTTAGTCTAGACAAGAGAAGGCTCAGGGGGGACATGACAGCTGTCTTCAAGTCTCTGAAGGACCATTATGCTGAGGAGGGCGTAGTCTTTAGTGGGTTTGGCCTCAAAAGGCAGAATGGGTAAAATGTTGCCAAAGGGAAAACTGAGACTAGATCTCAGGAAAAGTTTCCTAATAATCTGAGATAGCTAAAAGTGGAATGAGCTGCCCAGGGAGAAAGTGGGTTACCTCTCCTTGGAAGTTTTTAAGAAAAGGCTGGATGACCACTTATTTATAGGGTATTTTATTGGGGCTTATAGATTTGACTAGATGGCCATTAAGATTCCTTCCGACTCTAAAAATTCTAGTATTTTTTTTATTGGTATGTTGAAAGATTTATTTTTAATGACCGTTTTAAAAGTTTGTTATTCAGTTATATCTGATATTAAACATAGAAAATTTAAAAACAAGACAAAGTATGATTCAAACAAAATATGCCAATGCTTTTAAAGATGCAAAATCATTACATTTCAAAGTTTCTCTTTCCATTACAAGATCCTGCCCAAGATAAAACAGTTTGTAAGTTATAGTCAGGACTTGGAACTTTGAGCAGCCTCATCGTTCTTTTCACTATTCCCCCCCCAGTCTATTACACTGTAAGCTGAAAGTCAATAAACTGCTATTATTAAGTGCATTTAAGTTCCTTCTTGAAGGTAGGAACTATGTTTTATTAATTTTTCTATTTCCCTCACAGTCTAGCATAATACTTTGCTTTAAGTAGGCACTCATTAGATGATTATTCAAGTTCTTGTTGAATCTTATAAATTCATTTACTCTAGGTATTAAAGACTTAATATATAACTCCTCTCAAGAGTATTACATTTGCGTAAGGACAACAGTTTTATCAAGAAGGAATATCTCATCAATGGTGAATTTCAGACATCAGCTGAGGAAGTATTTTCTTTGAGGTGGGGGAGGGTGACTCCTTTCCTAGAGGCTCTTTAATTAACACACCATTAGATGTGGCTTTCTTCATCTATGTGTAAAGCTAGTCCTGGTTTCCAGCTTCATATACCAACAATTCAGAGAGGAATCATGGAACAATGTGTGAGAGCTCGCCTCAGAGCCAGGAAGACCCGAATGGAAGGCCCATCCCTTAGGCCTACTGAATGTTGTAGCTCTGGACAAGTCATTTAACCTCTTAGTATTCTAGATAACTTTCTAAGGCTGCAAGTTGCAAAGAAGATGCCATCCTGCATTAGTAGACAGTTTCTTCTCCAGTAAATTCTCTATACCTGGGAAATCAAAGGTCAGTTTCCTATCCTTGATTAGCATAATCTGCCTGGGGAAACTTGCAGACCAGGGAGCAAAATGGATTGATTTCTTGATTCCAACTGGCCAGCTGGGACTGATAAAAGCTCCAGAGGGACGCTTTGAAACTACAGTTCCTCTCCAATCCCTAGAAAGACACCTGGTTGGTTTCCATACCAAATGCTAATTGGGAGACCACAGGTGGTTTCTGGGGGTAAACATGTTTGGCCCAGCCCAGGCGTGTTAAAGAAATCCTCTTTTGTTTGAGACTTCCACTCTGGGTCTCTGCCCAAAGGCCAATGGTGGTGGTGGGTGGATGGGAGGTGGGGGGCAGCTCACAAAGCAGAAGTGGTTGAATGGATTTAAAAAAAAAAACAGAATCAAACCCTCCC